TCTGAAAGCAAACACAACAAAAACTAAACCATAACTCCATAAAATCAGTAGAAATAATACTCCCAAAGAGAAACAACATAAAAAGAAAGCAATAAAAGCAAGGAGCGATTGTCTCACCCCTTCAGGAAGTCGCCCAATCCAAAAAACGACCTAGACCGACCCTATGCCAGCCGGTTCAGCCGGCTGGCTATTCCCGCACAAGAATTTTTCTCGCACCTGTGTTAGTCTCTTGGGGTTGGGTGAGTTTCTACCTCATTTGTCGAAGCTTTTGTCGGCACATAAACATTGAAGAAGTTGTTGTAATCATCTGAGATGGACAAATTGTTAACTTTAGTCCTAATAGCACCTGGATCCCACTATCGGTTGTATTGTCCTTCACAACGCCAGATGAGTTTGCTCCACTTGCGAGTGTAATTTCATATCAGTCTACTCTCCTAGGATTGTGGCCTCCACTAGTACTGCAGAATCTTAAAGTAATCCATTGTTGGTTCACTCTAATGTGCAGGGAGTGTAGCTTGAACCGTTGTGCCTGATGGTGGAGCTAGAGGTATGTTGCCGACTGTGAGATCCTGAAATACTTTGTTGTATTTGTTCCCTTCCTAGTGCAAGTATCTTAGTCCTCTCAACCCGTGTCATCACTAGAACTAGTCCCACAGACGCTGCTCTGCTGGTAAAAACTTTTGTGACCTCGAGCTCCACTAAAGAAAGTAGCATGATGCGATTCTCATACATGGTGAAAGAATACGTGTTTTTGAATCTATTATGCTGCATCATCCAATCAAACTGCTACGGTCTACCCAACAACAGGTAGGCATCCATAAGGGGCCACGCCATACAACAACTAGTCATGTAGCTGGTTTTCGATCGAAAACTCTACTAAATGAGGTTATCGTTTTGATTCGAGTTGAGCAGAGTAGAAGAGGTATTGATACCGGAACTAGTTCGGAATTCAACGGAAACGAAAGCAAACTTTATTAATGTACGGAATTAGGGGTTACACCACAACACAAACGAAAAATGTTAAAATACAATGACACTAATCTCTGGCTAGAGCCGGAAGAGAAGATCCAAGGGACATGGTGGTGTTGGCAAAGTGGTGAGAAAAGGTGGGGAAGGCCTGGTGGTTGTTTGATGGGCTAGAACGAGATTTGGTGGGTTGTAGGTGAGCTAGATAGCAAGGATTGCTGCGGGAAGGGATGGCAGGATGCGGGTAGAGGGCCTGAAGGGCTAAATAACCAAGGCAGCTTTAAGGGAAGGGATTGATTGCCCTCCAAAGTATTAGGAAATCAAACCCCTATGCAACTCCTCTCTCAGTTTTATCCTAATATTTGAACCGCAAATAACCTTACTCTTCGAGTTTTTAGTTGTCTTGCTTTTGTTCGCGTGCTTAACATAACAAAGATAAATTAGATCAATGAGCAATCAAGTGTGTGTTCCTCAATTATTCATCAACACAAAAAGGTTACAAGTGTTATCACCCACCTACACAAAAATATTATCTTTATTAATGTCATCTTTAAGGAAGGTCAATCCTTTTCTTTAGCCTTATCTGTAGGGGGAGTCTAGTATTATTGGGGAAGATAAGGCAAAAGATCTACCCTTTCTTGATCTACCCACAATAGGGTTTAGGTCAAGCCGGCTCGACTCGATAACTGGCTCGTGGACTAAGCTTGATGAGCTAACAAGCCAAGCTCAAGTGAACCCCAACTCGACTCGTTTAAAAATTAATTAATAAAAAATACCTAAAATATAATAAAATTCGAAAAAAAATTCTTTAAATTATTATAAATATTTGAATAATAATATTCAACATTTTATATGAAGTAATTTCTAATTAATTATTTCATAAATGCTCATTCTATTTGTTATTTAATTATAATATTAGCTTAAATTAATATTTTTTCTCTCATTCATGCTAAACAAGCCGGATCGAACTCGTTGAACTAAGCTCGAGCTCGATTAATCGAGCTCGATTAAATTAATCAAGCTCAAGCTTAAGCCGAGAGTGCTCAAACTCGAATCGACTCGTTTACACTCCTAACCCACATTAGAAACTTACTCTTCACAAGAATCCAAATCACATCATAAGAGCCATCCCTACAACACGAATTGTCCCCAAAAGAATCAAACATGAAATAATTGAAATAGCACCTACCAATAACAAGCTTGACTCTAGGATGCATGCACAAGTTTATTCAAGAAAGATAAACTAGTGCAAAATTCAAATCCTACTCCTGAAAATGAGGTATGCATAAATCCAATTTGCTCTCCTATTCCAATTGATTATGACTTACCTATGGCCTTAAGAAAAGGGACAAAATAATCCACTGAACATCCAAGGCATCCATTAGAAAAATCAGTATGTTTTCATAAATTTTCTCTACATCACAAAAGTTCTTAGCCAACTTAAATTCAATCCCAACTCCAAATAACTTGTCTAATTGGAAGAATAAAACATGAGATGGAGGCACTTTAGAAGAATAAAACATGAGAAGTTGAGAGAAGCTATGCGAACAGAGATGGAGGCACTTTAGAAGAATAAAACATGAGAAATAGTAAGGGCTATCACAAAATAAAGAAGTTGTTGGATGCAAATTGGTGTTTGCCATAAAATTCAAATCAGATGGGTTTCTAGAGAGATACAAGCAAGGTTGATTGCTAAAGGCTACACACAAACATATGAAGCAGACTATCAAGGCACAATTGCACCAATAGCGAAGATGAATAGAGTGAGGATTCTTTTGTCCTAGTTCGTAAATTTCAATTGAGATTTACAACAATTTGAGATGAAAAAAGCCTTCCTTCATGGTGATTTCGAAAAATAGATATATACGGAGATTCCACCAGGCTTCGAAGAGATAAAAGAAAACAAGGTTTGCAAACTGAAAAATGCATTATATAGACTCAAGTAATCTTCTAAAGCTTGGTTCAGTTGGTTTACAAAGGTGATGCTTAATATTGAGTACAAGCGAAGTCAAGGTGAATATACGTTATTCATCAAACACACGAGTTCAGGGGCAGTTGTTGCTCTTTTGGTGTATGTTAACGATGTAATTGTTACTAGGGATAATGAGAAAGAAAATGTAGTTTAAAAAATTGCTTGACACAAGAAATTGAAATCAAAGACTTAGGAAGCTTGCAATAATTTCTTGAGATAGAAGTAGCTCGATCTCGACAAAAGTATCTTCACTTCTCAACAAAAAAGTACAGTTGATCTCTTGAAGGAAATTGTTAAATAGCGTGTAAATCTGCTTCAACTATGATTGATACCAATCGCAAACTTAGAGAGTCGAATAATGACAAGATAGCAGATAAAGAAGGGTTTCAGAAATTGGCTGGAAAATTAATATATTTGGCACACATTAGGCCCGACATTGCCTATGTTGTCAGTGTAGTAGTTCAGTTCATATACAACCCTAAAGAAAGTAACCTACAAGTTGTAAATTGGATAATTCACTACCTAAAAGCTAATACGGGAAAAGGAATTTTATTCAAAGTGAGGGGCTTATTCTTGAAGCTTACACTAATGTAGACTATGAAGGATTTTTGGTTGATAGACGTTCCACAACAAGCTATTGCATAGTCCTAGGAAGTAATATAGATACATAAAGGAGTAAGAAACAAAATGTGATAGATCGATCAAGTGCAACAACAGAGTTCAGGTTTATGGCTCAAAGTGTGTGAGCAATTGTGGTTGAAGATCAACCTTAAAGATCTCAAGATAGAATGAGAGAAACCTATGAGACTATATTGTGACAACAAGTCCACCATGAATATTGCTCATAATCTGATATAGCATGATAGGACAAAGCACATCGAGATTAACATATACTTTATAAAGAAAAAATTGATGTATGCTCCCTATGAGCCTACAAAGGAACAACTTACTAATGTGTTTACAAAGGGACTTGACTTTCATGACTTGTCAACAATTATATCCAAGCTAGGAATGGATGATATCTATTCACTAGCTTGTGGAAGAGTGCTGGAAAGCGGATGATTATTTTAGGGAAGTTTTAAGTCAGGAAAATTTTAATTTAGGAATTTAATAAATCATTTAATATGAAAGTCCAATTTATGAATAGAATAATTCCCTTGATACGAGAATCCACATTAGGAAAAGAATAAATCCCTTAATATAGATATCTAATTTAGGAAGAGAATATTATAGTTTTATTATTTCTTTTTCTTTTCTTATTTCTATATATATTCATTGTATAATGTATATTTATTAGTTAGTTTGTTTAATGAAAAAAGAAACCTGGATTTCAATCCACGTTTTTTTTAGTATGCCAATGTACAAATTTATTTATTCCTACAAATCCTCTAAGTCATCCGTAGTATTTATAACCATGAAACATAGTGAAGCATGCTTCATGCCTTTGTGTCATTCAATAACTTGGTACGGTAAACCCACTATCAATAAAACAAAGGTTTAACATAAAAAATGATCCTTTGTAACAAATGTCACCCTTGTTCCTTAAAGATAACTTGGATAAGAAACCCATAGTTGCTGCCAAATTACCAAAGGATCGTAAATAGGCTTGTTGAAGTCAGTCTAAAGTCAAAGTAAGCTTACCAACCCGCGAATGATCACAATAAGTTCTCTAACTAATATTTGTAGCTACAATGCACAACTCTTGACTTGAAGATATAGTGTCCAAGCCTCCTCCAAAGCATGGACTACAATTCACTTGATAAAATCCAAGATTATTTAGCCATGAAACTTTAACAGAATTTATAGTCTATCCCCACATAAATTTCATAATACAAGAAAAAAAAAAATGTATCCTTACTCATCAAATATAGAATCAAGTATTATCTTTATCGAGAGTGCTTTCAAAGCCAAAAGGAAGAATAAACTACTAGAAGTTTATGTGCCTCCGTAAACTGTAAAATAAGATACGTGCACCTTAATGTTGACCATAAAATAAACAGCGCTTCTCCCAACAGAGAAATGACCAGTAATGCTAATTAAAGATTTCAGTGTTTCTACTGACCTGACAATGAAGATGCATAACTTTTACTTGAGAAAAGTGCACTTGATAAGGAGGAATAGAAGCCAATGCACGGGCAAGCTCCTTGTTGGTGCAGATGTTCAGACTGCTTGGACAGCACTGCTTGAAATATTCAGAAAGTCGAAGGTCTCGCATGCTATGTGCATTTTTTCTCATTAACACCCTGTAAAAATACATGATAGGCTCCATCACAGTACAGCCACAATATATATATA